TCCGCGCCGAGGTGCGCAGCAGCCGCTCGGCCACGTCCTTCTTCTCCGCCAGCCAGCTGTTGGCCGAGCGCAGGTAGGCGTCCAGGCTGCCCGCCGGCCTCTCCCGCGGCTCCACCGGCGGCGCCTGCGGCTTCCCTGCGGGAGGAGGCAGCTGCGGCCAGCCCGAAGACCATCCCCACGGGCGGCGCGGGGCCGGGGCGGAGGCCGGGCGGAGAGGTCGGCCTTCTCCCTCGGGCCCGCTGGCCGGCGGAGGGAAGGCCGGGAGCGGAGCGAGCCGAGGCGCACGGCCGGACTGCCTGGCCAGGGCCGGGAAGGGGGGCAGCGCCGCCAGAGCCCCAGCTGAGCACAGCGGGGGACCCCAGGCCAAGGCGCCCCCTTGAAGCCAAGACGCGGCCCGTAGGCCTCACGGCCGAGATGCGTCCTCCAGGCTGTGGTGCCTCCCTACAGGCCAAGAGGCGTCCCGCAGGCCACGATGCACCCCACAGGCCAAAGTGACCTCTTCAAGCCAAAATGCCTCCTGCAGGCCAAAATGCGCCCTACAAGCTGAGCCTCCCCCACAGGCCGAGGCGCCCTCTGCAGGCCAAGATGCGTCCTGCAGGCCCTGCTGTGTCCTCTACCCTGGCTGGGGCGAGCACTGCCTGGTGGTTCTTTGAGGAGAAGCCACAGGTGGCACGGGGTTCCCAGCTGACCACAGGCGGCAGACAGTGGTGCTGTGGCGGGGTGGGGCCTGCCTGGCAAAGGGGTTGGGGAGGAGGCTGTGGGGAGCAGGGAGGATGAGGGCTGGTGCAGAGGGAAGGGGCCACAACCCCGACACGTCATCGGGCTGCCAGGGCACAAGGGTGGCCGGGGCCTCAGCCACGTCCTGGCGCCAGGCCCATGTGGGTGTCTGCCACCGTTCCCACACTGGCCCGAGGGAGCCTATCGCTGCATCCCAAGGAGGCGGGCACAGGGAAGCCTCGAGCTGCACATACCGGACTGTTCCGGCACCAAGCCGGAAGAGGCGGTACAGCCTTGGTGTCGGGATAAGCTTGCATCCTCTGGAGGGACTGCTCACCCTGTAGAGCTGTACCCTCAGCTGCTCTCCTGCTGCCCTTAAACAGCCGACTTGGCCTCAGTCTACTAAGCCTCGGACAGACATCACCACCAGCAACTCCTGTCTCCTCCAGGAAGCATCCTGACACATCTGCCCCCTGCTTCCCGATAGTGTGGTGGCTTCCCTCACACCGTGGGCGCCGCCTTCTTGGCCCAGAACACGGTCACACTTGCCCCTCCGTGCTCCGTCTCACTCCTCGCTCCCAGCCTCCCTAACCCTGGAAGCCCTGCGGCCTGGCCGCCAATCGCAAACAAGTGTCCTGTGACCCCGGCAGCCTCAGATCTCCGAGTGTGAAGCTGATACAGCCGCGAGCCTCACCAATGTGGTAGTAGGTAAAGCACATGGTCATGAGATTCTTGGCTGGCCCGAAGTCGTCCATCTGGTGGCACCTGAAACGAGACGAGGCTGCGGCCTCCAGAATCCCGCCCGGAACCTCTCACTGTTAGCTAGTTAAGCACTGCCGAGATCCTTGATAACTGTGTCAACTGGGACCTCACTCCCAAAGGGCCACTGCAGGAGAAGCAACGAAACAGTCCCCGGCACCTGCAATCCCAGCACTTGGGGAGGCCAAGGCAGGAGGCTTGCTTGTCCTCCCGCAGTCCTCCCACTTCTCCCGCCTGACAAGTGCAACCAGCTCTGCTCCCGCGAGAGGCTGGCACGACCTCTCTTCTGCTCATGTGGGCATCGCAGACACCTGCGGTCTGCTGCCTGGTGTGGGCGTCATCACAGCTGGGGCGTGACAGCGCAGGGCGGGGGAGGGGAGCACAGCGTGTGAGGACACAGGCGCGAGCAACAGCGTGACTTACTCGAACAGCACGACTGCAAAAGACTGCACCAGGCGGTAGAAGGTCGCCTCCGAGACACACTTGGAATTGCAGCGCTGCCCAGAAAGAAGCCAGATGCATCAGTGGGGGACAGGGTGACACACAGCACGCGGTGAGGCTGCAGGCTCTCCATGCGAGTGTTTCTAAACACGGCTGACCTCGGGATGCCAAGGTGGGGGGACTGTCCGAGCCCAAGAGGTCAAGACCAGTCTGGGCAACATAGTGAGACTTCATGTCTACAAAAATTCCAAAAAATTAGCTAGGCGTGGTGGTACGTGGCTCTCGTCCCAACTACTCGGAAAGTTGAGGCGGGAGGGTGGCCAGAGTCCAGGAGGGCAAGGCAGAGGTGAGTGGTGATGGTGCCACTGCACTCCAGCCTGGGCAACAGAGCGAGACCCTGGCTCAAAATAAATAAAAGGTTAGGTACTGCTGGGCCAGGGCCGAGTGTGGCACCCACCCACCATGCCCGGCAGGAACAAGCAGACTCCCCTTGGTGAACCCCTGAGATTTTAAAAGCAGTAACTTCATGTGCTCACCCACACATGGGAAAGTATGGAAGGATGAAACCCCAAGACGACACACCTGGCTATCTCTGGGTTGTGGATGTTTGGGTTTCTAGTTTCTTTCCTTGCTTCCCTGTATGGTCTGGATTTTCTATGAAAAATAAACTATTTTTGATCAAGTACTTAAAAACTAAGAACTGAAGCCACTCTGCAGAAAAAAAGAACCTACCGGATATTGACAAAATTTAACACTTTCCTGAACTTTGTTTACGTATTTTTCTTTACATGGCTGTCACTGTCTCAAATATATTACTTTTTGCAAAAACTGAATACCGTGAGTTATTTATTTAGGTCAGATGTGGCTCACGCCTGTCATCCCAGCACTTTGGGAGGCCAAGGCAGGAGGACTGCTTGAGCCCAGGAGTTCAAGTCTAACCTAGGCAGCATAGTGAGACCTCATCTCTATAAAAAACAAAGTTAAAAATATTTTAATTTAAAAAAAAAAGTGGCCAGGTGCAGTGGCTCATGCTTGTAATCCTAGCACTTTGGGAGGCGGAGGCGAGAAGATCGCCTGAGCCCAGTGGTCCGAGACCAGCCTGGGCAACTTGGTAAGACCTCGTCTCTACAACAAATAAAAAAAGTAGCTGGGTGTGGTGGTGCGTGCCTGTAGTTCCAGCTACTTGGAAGGTGGCAGCGAAAAGATGCCCTGAGCCCAGCAGGTGGAGGCTGCAGTGGCTGTGAGCATGTGAGTGAGACTGCCTCTCAAAACAAAAAAAAGGTTCTGGAATTTCCTGAGGCTGAGTGCCCAGTCTCCCTTGTGAGGACACGTCCCTGTGAGCGGCCGCCTGCTTCTCAGGACCCCGGGATCCTAAGCAGATCCAGAACACCCTGGGATGGCGTTTACTTTTGTTCTCTGCTGGGTCACGTCCCTTGACTCCCTTCCCTGGAGCGAGGAGACAGAGCTGGGGACTGTCTCCCGATTCTCCCTGAAGAGGAAACGCCCCCCACCCCTCTCCTCCTCACCTGGGCGCTCACGTATCGGGCAAACCACTCTCGGCCCTTCCCGTTTTCCCTGCTGCAGTACTCTCCAAACTTGGCTTTCTCCTCCTGGTCCAAGTCCTCCCTAAAAACAAGTGCCAGGGGGAAATTAAAAATCCCTCTCCATCCTCTGAAAAAAATAAAGGCACTGACAAGTACTGCAGCCAGCCACATGCAGACCCATGCTTCCACCAGTGCACCTGGACCTTGCGATCCCAGGAGGAAATGGCAGTTTTTATTTCAAGGGGGTGCCCGGCTTGGAGAACCAGACATGGATGGAGGGTGGTGATAGGAGTCTACCCAGACTTCCTGTTCCAAAGCCTGTGCTCCTGCCTTATCCGCCTGCTCTGAGCCCTGACAAGGACACAGACCCTAAGAGGTCTTGGTTCTCCAGCGCATCCAACTTCCTGCTAGTTTCTGATGCTGGAGTCAGCATGGAACCACCCACTGAATTCAAGAATTCCTGATTGGCTGCTGGGCATGGTGGCGTATGCCTGTCATCCCAGCACTGAGAAGGCTGAGGTGGGAGGACTGCTTGAGCCCCGGAGTTGAGACCAGCCTGGGTACCATAGAGAGACCTCGTCTCTACAAATAAACAAAAAATTAGCTGGGTGTGGTGGTGCACACCTGTAGTCTCGGCTACCCGGGAGGCTGAGGCAGAAGGATTGCCCGAATCCAAGGAGGTTGAGGCTGCAGTGAGTCATGATCGTGTCACTGCGCTCCGGCCTGGGTGTCAGAGTGGGACCCTGACTCAAAAAAAAAAAGAAAAAGAGTTCCCGATTTGCTGTCTCAGCATATTGGAGCCAAGAAACACCAAGAGGCCGAAGGCCAGGAGAGGGACCACCACCGCCTCCCGTGGGCGTTCTGAGGTAGAGCCTGCTCGCCTCCCTGACCAGCCCTGCTCTGTGTGTGAGGGATAGACACGGGGCGGCCTCTGCCATGGGGTCACCCCTGGGATGGGGCAGACTCTCGCCTGATCTCAAACCACGACTGAACTGTCTGTGATGGGTCTGTGTGCCAATAACCCCCACATTTAAGACTGGAAGCGCCCGAGGCTGAAGGTTGATGATTTTGCACGATCTTCATCTATGTGTGGCTTTAGGGAACACCTGCTTTCATTCATTGCAAACACCAACACCAGATGGAACATGCAAGTTGGCTGGCCGTTTGATTTGCAGTGATTTCTGGAATGCTCCTGAGGACACATCGGAAGCAGCTGTCCACACTCCACACTGTGACAGGCTGCTGCCAATGTGGCCTGGCCTTCCTGGCAAGTTGGCAAACCTCGGGGCTCCCGTCTGTCCCACTTCACTCCCTGGGGTGTGCCCCGAGAGAGACTGTGTGGAGGCTCAGACAAAACCAGCAGGAGGTATATCCACGGCACCTCTCGTCTAAGCCAAACACAAAAGTACTCAGGACAACCAAATGGTAACAGCTTCTCCCTCTGGGAGCCACTCAGGGAGCTAAGGCCGGACTCCAGCGAGTACACAGCACATGTGGAGAGGGACCGGCCAGCTTGCAGCCAGCTTACAGAGGTGGGACTGGCTCTCAACAGGGGACAGGGGCCTCTGCACACTCAACAGACAGACGTTCCTGTGTGCCAAGGAAAATGGATCATGTTAATGAAACCAGAAAACTTTCCCTAAGCCAGTGCTGCTGTGACTTTAATGAATGTATGAATTCCGTTAAAACACAGATTCTAGGCTGGATGCGATGGCTCACGCCTGTCATCCCAGCACTTTGGGAGGCCGAGGCAGAAGGTTCGCTTGAGCCCAGGAGGTCAGGACCAGCCTGGGCCACAAAGTAAGACCTCGTCTCTACAAAAATGTCAAAAACTTAGCTGGGGATGGTGGTGTGCACCTGCAGTCCCAGTTACTTAGAAGGCTGAGGCAGGAGGACTGCCCGAGCTCAGGAGGTAGAAGCTGTGGTGAGCCGTGATGGCATCACTGCACTCCAGCTGAGAGATCCTAACTCAGCGGTGGGCAGGACCCAGGACCCTGCATGTCTAGCAAGCTCCTGCGAGACACTGAAGCCCAGGCCTGCAAGTAACAGTCTGGCAGCGCATGTGTGCCCCTCGGTGTGCTGTGCTGTTGGAGGCACGACAGATCAGCAGTCACACCCGAGGCAGGACTGGGAGCGTGTGCACTCCTGCCCGTCCTGGCAGTGGAGCACGGGGACTGTGGCCTGTCCACACAGCCGAGCCACACGGTCAGTGTCATGGCCCCGTGTCCTTCCTGTGTTCCTGGTGCCAGTGCTCCTCACTTTACCCTCAGAGACCCTCACGGTCAGTGTCATGGCCCCGTGTCCTTCCTGTGTTCCTGGTGCCAGTGCTCCTCACTTTACCCTCAGAGACCCTCAGAGCAAGGGCCCTTGGGCGGGGAAGACCCCTGCAGATGGCTGCCCCAGGCAGCCCCCCAGGACCAGCGTAAGTGTGGGGCTGGACTCTTACTACCTGGTTCTGCCCTCAGTTTTTGTTTCATCTTTTAGAGTCAGGGTTTTAATCTGTGGCACACTCGTGGCCACCGCAGCCTTGACCTCCTGGGCTCAGGCGATCTGTCCATCTCAGCCAGGGGGGAATTAAAAATCCCTGGGATGATAGAGCCACATGCCTGGCCAATTTTAAAATTTTTTCGTAGAGACAAGGTCTCTCCATGTTGCCTAGACTGATCTAATTCCTGGGCTCAAACAATCCTCCCCACCTTGGCCCCCGAAAGTGCTGAGATGACAGGTGTAAGCCACCACACCTAGCCTCCCTTAAACTGAATTCCAGTGAATACTGTGGCCTCCTAGCCAAGGAGCGCTTAGCAGCTAACTCAAAAACACTCAAAGGTACAGATGCCAAATGGGCGTCCCATGAACTCAGCAACGGTGGGGTGAGACGGTGCCGAGAGCCTGACAGTGCCTCACGTGGGAGGGGGAAGAGCCAGAGACAGCTCCAGGACTAAAGAATGCACAGAAAACTTCAGACAACAGCATCAGAAATGAACGGGGTGGGGGCCCCAGGCAACTGTGCTGTAGAAAAGCTGTTCCCTGCCTGTTTTGCAACAAGCATGTGCAGCCCACGCGGTAAGAACAACTGCGGATGGCAGGTGATAGTCCTGTCACATCTCTCAGGTGTGCAAGGACAAAAAGAAAACTAAGGTGCAGCAAAGGCAGGGGAGAGCCACTTGAAGCTCTGTGACCCCGTGCTGGCTGGGCTGCACAGGCTGGAGACAGGACTGGAAGAGAGGGAACAGGGGACTGGACGGGCAGGGGGTGGGGACTGGACGGCAGGGGACAGGGGTCCGGAGGGGAAGGGGATAGGGGCTGGAGGAGAGGGGACAGGACAGTCCCATGCTCCCTGCCGGCCACCCTTGATGCTGCCGGCCTGTGAGTGGGCGCTCGGCGTGCATCCCGTCTGGGGGTGTCAGCCTGGCCACTGTGACATCACGGGAAGCTCGCACGTGTTCTGACACGGTGCCTCCCCCAGGACCGATGTGCCTGGCAGGGAAGCCTGGGCTGGGAGTGCTTTAAACACCCTGACTCTACCCGCAGCCTGGGGGGCATGGTGAGAGCCGCCCCAGTGGCTGTCACAGCCCACAGAGAAAAGGAGCCCTGGCCCTGTGGTCCTTACCCCCCGGAGAAGATCTTGTCCACGTAGCTGCGCATGAAGTCCCGGAGCGCCAGGGCCTCCTCGTCCTGCGCGGACTCGGAGCTCTGGCTGGAGGAGAAGGACTCGTTGGAGGAGGAGCGGCGGTCCTGGTCCCAGGACGGGTGTGAGGGCGACTCGCCCATGTCGTTCTCGCTGTCCGCCGACTCGGTGGTCTCACTCTCTGAAGCGCCATCCCCCAGGGAGCCGTCCCCATCAGGCAGCGTGGGGGGCGGGGTCTCCAAGGGCGAGGCAGCGGGGGGCTCGGGCCCAAAGTCGATGAGGGAGCCCAGGGGGACCTCCGCGGCCTCCATGGCACGGGGCAGCTGGGGGAACGCCTGGCTGGCGTCCGGTGGCAGTGGGAGCCCGCCAAGCACGTGCGCGTCGCCTGGGAGCCTCCAGCCACCAAGATGGGTCCTCCAGGGGGCTCACGTGGCCCTAAGGCTTCTAGATGGGAAACACAGACACAGACATCAGTACCCTCCTCCTGGAGGCAGGACCCAGGCTGGGACGGGTGAATTCTCTGTAAGAGGAGCCGTCCCCGCACCTCTGGAGTTGGGGCTGCCTCCACCCATTGGCCTCCTACTGTCCGCTTGACTAGTGAACGCCCGAAATGTAGTAGGCGCTCAATAAATGCTCATGAAATCAGTGAACAGGTAAACAGGATTTCTCCAGGCCAATCAAACAGATTTTCAGGGCCTGCATCCACTGGCCTCCTCCCTGCTGCAGCCCCTCAGACAGAGGTTGTGCCCAAGAGGCAGAAGGCCTGTCCTGGGCTGGAGTCGGTGTATCGTGGTACAATCCCCGGCCCGCTAACCCTCTGAGCTCCCTCCTTATCCAGAGCTGCCTGGGCCGAAGGAGGCTTATCCTGACCCCGGCTTCTTCTTGAGCCCTCGAGGGTTTCCAGGCACAGCTTCTACATCCTGCCCCTCCGTGTCTGAGCCCGCCCTCCTCAGCGAGGGGGTCCTCTGCTTCCCTCTCCTCCCTCCTACCCCCCGGCCCCACCCCACAGAGCTCGGCCACGTCTTCTGAGAAGCTGCACTCAACTGCTCAGAGTGAATGGTTGATTCTTCCGGGGCCTAGAGCCAGCCAGTCCATCCTTCTGACTCACGGTGTTTAAAAATATCCCAGGCTGGGAGATTCAGAGAAATCCATAATCAATTGCCCCCTGCTTCCCAGCAGTTTATTGAGACTCATTTGTAATTCTGCTTGTTTTGCAGATAGATATCAGTATCCCTATTTACCCAATAACGTATCCCTCCCCGGGGGCCCTGCCCTGGCCACCTCTGTAGCCATCTCCATGCCCTGTACAGACTCTTTATTTTTTAAGTCAGGGTCTCACTCTGTTGCCCAGGCTAGAGTGCAGTGGCATGATCACGGCTTGCCACAGCCTCGACCTGGGCTCAGGTGATCCTTCTGCCTCAGCCTCCCGAGTAGCTGGGACTACAGGCACCCATCACCATGGCAAGCTAATTTTTTGGGGTTTTTTTTTTTTGGTAGAGATGGGGTCTTGCTATGTTGCTCAGGCTGGTCTCAAACTCTTGGACTCAAGCAGTCCTCCTGCCTCAGCCTCCCAAAGTGCTGGGATTATAGGCGTGAGCCACCACACCAGGCCCAGACTCCAGATTAGCAAATATCCATTGTGTGTCTGCTGAACGAGTGAACAGACCTGACCGTGAACATGCCTACAGGACTGGGGGAGTCGGCGACACAGGCCACACTGCAGAGAGTTGGGATTAGAACCTTCTTCTAAACCGGATCTCCAGGTTGCACTACACTCCAGCCTGGGCGACAGAGTGAGACCCCGTCTCAAAACAAATGAGTCAGGCTCGGTGGCTCAGCCTGTAATCCCAACACTTTAGTAGGCCTAGGTGAGTGGATTGCCTGAGCCCTCGGATTCGAGACCCACCAGGGCAACTTAGTGAGACCTCGTCTCTACAATAAATCAAAAGCTAGCCAGGCTAGTGGTAGCACACGCCTGAAGTTCCGGTTACTTGGAAGGCTGAGGCGGAAGGATCACTGGAGCACAGCAGGTCGAGGCTGCGGTGGCTGGGAGCGGCCACTGGACTCCAGTCTTTGTGACAGAGTGAGACTCCAACTCACAAAAACAAAAAAACAAACAAGTGCATTGGCGGCAGCACTAAATGCTGCAGGGAGAGTGTCCAGGGACGTCCCCAGAGCGCTAAGGTGGCCTCGTTGGACACGGAGGTAGAGGAGGTGGAAGGAGGGAGCACCCCTTGAGAAGACCCAGGGTCTCCTGGACAGAGGGGACAGCTCGCATCAGGTCGCAAAGAGGCATCAGCTTTGGAGAGTTAAGAAGCAGGAGGCAGAGAGGCTGCTGAGGCCAGGAGCGGCTGTTGTGGGGGAAGAGGCCACACGGGGGAGCAGAGGGAGGTCTCCTCTCCTCCTGCCAGAACTGCCCCCCTCTCCCTCCCAGAAGGAACTTACAGATCGCGGAGGCTGCCGTGCTGGGGCTTTGCTGAAACCTGATTTTCCCCTGCCCAGAGCAGCCAGAATGCGCCTCTGCCAGCGGATGGACTTGAGCGATTGATGGGGCTCCCGGAGAAGCTGGAAACTTCTGGAAGCTGCCCTTGCCATTGACCTCAGCAACCCCTTTTCTCACAGTGTCCCCGAGAACTACCAAGTGTGCTGCTCCACCCACCAGGAGAAGAGCCCGCAAGGCCCAGGAACCAGGTCATATGGCACACGCAGCAAGTCACAGATGCGGCATGTCACACCTACGGCACGGCACACACACACGGCACGTCACAGACACGTCACGTCACACACACACACGTGTGTGCTGCTTTGTGGCTCCTCTCAATCGCAGTCAAGTCAGGAGAAAAAGAACAGGCCCCAGGACACGGATGTAAGTGACCTCCCAGGCCAGCTTGTGACAGGGCTGAAAGCCAAGGGCAGCACCGTGCTTGTCCCTGGCTGGGCCAGCCACTCAGGTGAGCCAGAACCGGCTGGTTCCTGTCCACACAGCCGGGAAGTAACCAAGCCCAAGACCAGACTTGAGGTGGCTGAACATCCAGGGTCCCCACCTCCGTGCCATCCCAATGGCCATGGTTCAGAGTGTCCCTGGGATTCACAGCTGGCTGTGGCGCCACTGGCCGTGATGGGTTCAGCAGGAAGACTGCAAGAGGTGCCCCGCATGAGCCAGTCCGCGGCGAGACACGCTAGATGGGTTCCACGCGTGGCTCCTCCCCCAGCTGGAGGGCAGGAGACAATGAGCTCAGCCTCGGCTCAGCTGCCTTCCTCTGCACTTGGTGTCTGTGCAGGATACGGCACAGGTGGGAGCTGGGCCTGGAGACACCCTGTGTTTCTTGGGGGCCTGGACTCCCTGTCCGAAGCACCTGGCTTGGTGACCGGGGGGGGGGGCGGGGAGTGAGGGGACAGCCCAGTTAGGGACAAGCGTGGCTCTGCCCTTGAGCTTCAGCCCCGTCGTGAGCTGAGCTGGAGAATCACTTACATCTGTATCCTGGTCTCCTATTTTTTTTTTTTTGAGCTGGGGTCACTCTGTGGCCCACAAAACAGCTCATCACAGCCTCAACCTCCAGGGCTCAGGTGATCCTTCTGCCTCAGTCTCCCCAGTAGCTGGGAATAGGCGCACACCACCACATAGGTCTATTTCTTTTTTTTTTTTTTTTTTTGCGGAGATGAGGTCTTGCTAGTTGCTCAAGCTGGTCTTGAACCCCTGGCTTCGAGCAATCCTCCTGCCTCAGCCTCCTATGGTGCTGGAATGATAGGCATGAGCCACTGTGCCCGACCCCTAGTGTCCTACTCTTGGAAAACATGAGTCTGGCTTTTTCTTTTCCTATCAGTAAGATTCTTAGCAACATCAGTGAGGCATGATGCAAAAGGCTTCATGGGAATGTGCCACTGTCCCAGCTGGCGGGGAGAAACTGACACCCCCCACCAGGCGTGGCAACACTAAGGAGAAATCTTGGCCAGTGTCAACGTGGCTCACCCTTCCCCAGGAGCAAACTCAATAAAACACTGAATTTCAAACAATTCCCTCACCTGGGGTGGTGTTACTGCTCTCACTTTCAGTTCAAAGATGAGAGTTCTGGGGCCCAGTTTGACAGTGGCTAGCGCAAGGACCACCTCCAAGCAGACCTTGAGGTGATGGCATCTTCAGTATCCCCAAACTCGGCACCCCCTTTTCTGTGGAGCTTTCTCTTAGCTGGGTCTTGGCTTCTGGGCTGAGAGGAGACAGTGGGATGCAGGGGGAACCCCAGATCCTCATCGCATCAGGCATGGTCCTGGAAGCTGGAGGTGCTTGTAACCTAAAGCCGTGGTTCCCAAACTGGTTCCAGGGCACTCCAGAACAGCTAACCGGGCGCTGCAGGACGGTCGTTGGAGCTTTGAGGGGAGCAGCAGTGCCGGACGCCTGTAGGACGGGGCACGTGCCAGCCTGAAGCCATTCTGTTCACATCAGGCCGGGCTCGTGTTCCTTCCCACGACACCGAATCTTTGCAAACCCATGACGATAAGCACACGTGCAGGCAAACCAGCATGGATGAGGGCAGTAGGGCGGCCAGTCAGAGCTCAGGCCAAGGCCCGAGGAGTGCAGGAGCCCAGTAGGCACGGCCTGTTCACGGTAGCGACACACAGATGTCTCTTCTCTCAAATGGTCTTTGTGTGACGACTGCAGGGTGGGTGCCAAGGCCACCCCAGTCCCAGAGCCCGGGACAGCTACTTCCCATGGCAGAAGGGACTCTGTGGATGTGATGCTGGCCCTTGCGATGGGAAGGAGCCTGGGCTATTCGGGGTCTGCGTCATACAGCGTCCTTGCAAGAGGGGGCAGCAGGGTCAAGTCGGAGAAGGAGACGACACCATGCTCTGGCTCTGAAGACAGGGGATGGGCTGGGAGCCGGAAGTTGGGGTCTGAGGGGCCTCCAGGAGCTGGACAAGGCGGGAAGGGCTTTCCCCTGGAGGGTATAGGAGAGCTGCTCTGCAACGCCCTGCCCTTAGCCCCAGGAGGCCGACCCTAAAATCTCTGCTCTCAGAACTGTCAGATGGTAAGTGTGCTCTTTAAAGCCATGGGCCATCTGTTACAGCAGTAATAGGAAACGCGTGCAGCCAGGCTGCTGTCAGGACGTGAATACTACTAAGCAGGGACGATCAAGGGATTTGATCAAGCCACCAAGGCTCAGGGGAAGCCTGGGAATCTCTGGCCTAAAAAGAAGACCCAGGGCCCCCGACCTGCAAGGGAGGCCACAGAGCCAAATCCCTCTCCACCTCAAGCCTCGGCCTGTTACGGGACTTTGCAAACTCTGCACACGTGTTCCTCCCAGTATGTGCAATCTGGTGCCGTTGTTTCTCTGTATTGTACA